GTTCACGTGTGAGAGGCATGCTTTCGCACAGTAAAGATAGATCAGTAGAGATAGCAACAGTTACAGTGAAGCAAAACTTAAGAAAGCTGGTTCTTTGTTAGCTCCTTAATCTGCCGTGTCTCCAGCGCCACACAATATTAATTCCATGCTCTTTTGAAAAGAGAAATGAGAGCATAGGGGAGTAGGAGGAACACCTGGTCAGACTATGCATACTTTTCATTTAACAACACAGCATTAAGTATGTCCCCAAGTGCTATATTCCTGCCATTCAGTTCACCTCCTCAAGTGGTAAAGAATGTAATACAAAATAAACAAGATTTCAAATTATACTGATATCTTTATTTAGACAAGCATTTCAAACTCACATGTGTTCAGCTATGAAACGCAACGTTAAAGGCCTCTCAAACTCAGCTGTTTGAGCTCGTCTTAAAATTAAAAACAACAGGCTGATGCTTGCAGCAGTTTGCAAGATCATTGTGTGCATTATTGATCTAAGATGCAATGGCAGGCTGGGAATTTTGAAGATTGTGGCCTTGCTAGGTAACAGCAGTGAATCAAGTATTTCTGGATTTATTTTTGTTGCACATTGTCAAAACTTTGTGTAACCCCTCAATAACTAAGTTAGTTTAGGCACTTCCTGGTTCTTTACTCAAATAAATGTTTCAGTTAAACTGTGTTGAGTCGAGGTCATTATTTATTCATAGGAATTTGAATGGATTGTGAGTGCAGCTGCAGATGTTTGCCCCACTAACAAGCCCAGGCACACTCTTTTATGCTGTTGCAGTAAAAGAGTGAGCTGTAGGGCGCCTGGAAGCAGTGCTGGCGCATAAGCAGTCAGGCACCACCTAGAAGCAAAGCATCCAGAACAGCGCTGCAGAGGCTGACACCATGAGACAAACCAGCAAATGAACCAGGAGAAATCTACCTGCCAAGAAGCTTTTCTTTGTTCCTCAGACGAGAATGTCAACCCAAAAAATGAAGCTAGGCTGCATTACTTGTAAAATTCCAGCTGAAGCACACTCCTATGATTCTGTTTTAGAGAAAAATAGTAGTTTCAAGTCCAAAAGGGAAGTGAAACTTCCACAACTAGAAATCATTGGTTCTAGCCATCTAAGAATGCCCGACTTGCTACTGGGAGGCAGATTATCCCTCTAATTCAATATGCCATCTCTGACAAAAGCGAACACCAGATTCAGAAGAGTAAATTTTGCAATGTTCACCTATAGGATTATCTGTCCTTAGATAAACAGTCTTCATAACAGCTAGTAGTGGGAGGCTGGTTTATGCTCCAGTTCTTCCCCGTGTTTTATTTTGCCTTTTTTCATGAGCAAAACAAAAATCAAGCTGAAATCCCAATAGTAGCTCCCAATAAATTTCTTTTGTAAATGTCTAATTTTCTATGTAAGCTTATATTCGTCAGCTAACTGTTTCTCAAATGTTTGATTTATGTTTTGGAAGAAAATGAAGTTTTTTTTTTTGTTTTGTGGGGAGGGGTTTAAATCAGAGGTTATAATCTCAAAAGCAGGTGACTAACCATTTTTAATTTGCTGTTGTAGCCTGGTTGAAGGTAACACACGTATTGGCACACTCTTCATGCTGCTCTGAATGCAATGGTTAGCAATATTAGGTTCATGCCTGTTATTTCCCTTAGGGGAAAAGAATGGTTAAAAATGCAGAAATTTCTTCGTTGCAATTCTATTCATGTAAATAGAAACAAACAGGAAGTCATTTATTTTCTTACAATTCCAAGCCTCTTGCCCGAAAGTCCTCAGCCTCCAAAATCTTTTAGGGTTTTGTTTTCAATCTTCTTGTTGCCTGCCATCTTCTTGGATGCTTTTGTCTCATATAAAGTGTATGACTTGCAAGTGCCTTTAAATCCCCGCATCCTCATTTTGACTGCCTTTACATTACGTGTGTGGTTTGGCTGTCCTGTCTTTTGGATTATATATCTCTTTACTCAAGCTCTCTGTTTCTGAACACTTGACTACTTTTTTATTCCCTATATCTTTAATGAAGAACTCCTGTCCTAAGCCTCCATCATATTATTACCTGCTGTTTTTATTTTGATAGCACTTAATATAAACCATGGGAAGGAGCTGAGACTTTTAAGTGCTATACATTTTCCAAGTATATAATGTAAAGAGGGCATTCCCTAAAAAAATACAGTCAGATCTAAAAGTATATTTAGATGCCTGAATAGAAGTTTATGGCTAAGTGCCTTTGGGAGTCTGAGTTCACGTTTATAGCATCTGTGTAAGGGATGAAAATAAGACAATGTAACAGAACGTTGATTATTAGTTTACCTATATAGCTGTTTGACCTGCATAAAGGATTCTGTAAGCAGCACCATTTAAGCTGTGGTTTGGCTTAACACATTCTCTTATATTTTTAGAGAAATTGACGGCTTTTAGTTATTTCTCTAACACAGGAGCTTCTTGTTAGGAAAAGAGGCTGAAGCCGGTCGCCCGATGAGGCGAGACTGCCGCAGCGCCGTGTTCCCAGCTCCAACCAGGAGCAAGGCTGAGAATGATTCCCAGTAGGCACCCACAGCAACACACGTGTACAACGTCTAAATATATGCATAGACATATGGCTATCCACACAGACCGGTATGGAAAGACACACTCGGCACTCACACAACACAAACGGCACCAATGGCCTCATCCTGTTCCCCTCTCTGGCTGATCAGGAGGAAGGTCTGTTAGTGGGAAATATACATATACATATGTATAATGTGGATCCCTCCAGGAGCTGGGCTTAGACACTCGGTCCACCTCAGAGCTGACCCCTCTATCCTTGGTTTCTCCAGTTGCTGCCACCTGGACAGACAAGCCCATGAGGCCCATAGCCCTGCTCCAGTTGCTGCTACAGACCCCCTCACCCACATACACACATTCACTCGCAAGTATGCATGCGCACACACACACACACACACACACACACACTCACACACACACACACGCATGCATGCTGTAGCTCCAGACTGCAGCTTGGCCTTGGGCACACAGTCCACCCAGCAGCTGGTCCTAAATTCTTGCTCTTCCAGGTGCTTCTCCCCTACAGACACACACACACACACAAAGACATACATGCATAGATGGGTTTCAGTTGATGCAGTCTCTCTGGCGGTCGGCCACAACTTCTCTGGCCCATCCATTGACCAACTCAGCTGTGGACTTGTCCACAGAGACCCACGTACACACCTGGCTCCCAGGTCACCTCACCTGCTCGCTGGCTGGATGTTCGCTTGTGATCGCACATTCACTCACTCCAGGTGCGGCACCACAGACACATGAGCCCCTCACCTGCAGTCCTCCTCCACTTGCTGGCACTCAGACGCTCATTCACTCCAGTTGCGGGACCAGACACCCGGCCCCTATGACCTGCTGTCCCCTTCCGGTTGCTGGTGCTCACACCTTCACCCACACACATGCACACAGAAGGTCCCTCACCCGGGAAAACAGAAAGGAATTTAACAAGACCAAGGACAGGGCACGCTGCGCTGATCAGGTGCAAGGCACGGCCAGACAAGCGTGCAGACCAGCCTCCTGTTTACTGATGACCAGCCCCTTTCTATCCCCATATCCTTCTATTTTCCCATGTTTGTTCTTCCTCAAGTCACCTACATCCCCCCCTTTCTCTGCCTTTGGTTCCTCCGCTAAACATCCCATTATGTCATGCATGATGCTCTTCTCCTGCATCCCACAATGTGTCCCATGCCCTAAGGCAGTGACCCCCCTCCTCCAAAAGGTGCTCAGGAGAGCCGCCCCCCCATTGACTCAGCTTGCTGGGTTTCACAGCTGGAACATGGGGCTGAGGCTCTCCTGGGTCAGCCTTGGGAGGAGCTGGACAGGGGATCCCTTCTCTGAGCAGATAATTTGGTTTCCCACCTGCCACTGCGCCTCTGCGCTTGTGGAGATGAGCCCTGACTGTGCTAAGCACTCTCCTGTAATGGGCTTGGGAGTAGTCAGGACAGGATTTATATAGGTTCCTCCATTTGCCATTGCTCTGTGCTCATTTGTGCTTGTGGAGATGAGCTTTTTATCACATAACCTAACAGTTCTTACTTTCAAAGTCAATATTTATGGAATGTGAGGACTGACGTCGCTTCTCAATCACCTGTTTTTCTCTTCTGCATCTCACTGCTCTCCCTTCCTGCTGTCTGTAGCAGTCTGTGTCCCTCATTCTGTATCCCCTGCGATGTTTCCCTTATCACTGTTACTCTGCGTATCTGCTCTAGGCTCCCTTGTAGGGCCCTGAACCCCGCTTTGTCTTTCCCAGAGCTCTCCTTTCTCAATTGCTGCCCCTTTTTGCTGGGTCACTTCAGATATTTACTTTCTCCTGAATTATCTACATCCTTCCTCTGTGCAGCTTCTTCTCCTTCTTACCTTCTTCACAACATATTTTCCTCTGCATGCTGACAATTTAACTTCTACTTTCCTGGCACTACTTACTCTGGTTTCCTACATCCCCCAAGTAGGGGGTATTTGGGTGATATCTTAACTTTATTTGTCAGGGGGTATTTGTGTGATAGCTTAACATTGTTTATCAGTTTCACACTGGGAAAGTTAAAGTCATGTCTTCTAGAATGCTCTTAGAAGATTAGGTAACTTCAAGTAATAAAATATTTAATAACACAAGACTGTGTTTGCTTACCTCTCTGTTGCTGAAATCCACCAAAAAAGAATTGTAAGAGCATGTACAGATTGTACTGTATGCATGGAGGTTATTTTTTTCTCCCTCACAAGGGAAAATACGTTCATTTCTTCCTTAGAAGACATCTGTGGAGGGGGAATGAGCAACCGCATATTTTCATTATCTTTTTGATTAGATTTCAAGATGGGGACTTTATTTGGGAACTACTAACACTCAAATTTCTTTAAAAATAAAACAAATTTCTAAAAAATATTTAGTATTTTCAAATAAAGAAGTTGAAATTTAGTGGCAAAATTAGCAGTTGTGATTTTTTTTATTTTGATATTTTCTTTTTATCCTTTCAGGATTCCTGCACCTACACACCTGTCAACAACTTTCCCTATGGCTGCTGCTGCTATGTCTGAATTGCCTGAGCCTGTTGTGCCCTCTCTGATTTCTCCTGAGTTGCCATCTGTATGCCAGAAGGGTTTGTGCCGTAATGGAGGGACTTGCAGTCCTACCTACCTGCCTACTGGGGCCACCTCATTTCAGTGTGACTGCCCATTACACTTCACTGGTCGGTTTTGCGAGAAAGGTAGCTGCACTTCATTCCCTTTATACTCTTTGTAAAATGTAAGTTTTCTGCTTCTTTGGAAGAGAAAAAGGGGAAGAGGTAATGATAATCATGCTTCTCTGCCTCCCATCTCAGTTATTCTTGGGAACTCAGGAGTGGATTCATTGAGGTATTTAGACTAATACTGATCTGGAGCATAAGATGGGTAGTAGCAGAATCGGGCCCATTAGTAAGAGTTGCAGACTGGCGTTAATGAAAAATATTATGGAATATTCAGGCATGTTATGCAATGTGATATTTCTGGAAGAGAAAAAAAGGTAACTTATGAAATTAAGGAAAATATTTCCTCAAAAGATGATATATTTTGCATTTCTACAAATAGGTTTTTTGCCAGTGCTGCTGATCTTTTGCTGAAAAGTTTTTTTTTACTCTGCAGTTCATTTATACTTTTATTGAATTACTGCTGCTTACGATGCACAGATTAGTCAAATGAACATAATTAAATTAGAATTTAAGTAAAAATGAAATCTTTGAATAATTTTGGTTTCCTTGTAAAGAGAATCAAGGCTATCAGACACACTGATCAACAACTGATAGCTTCTCTGTTTTGTAATCCTACTTATTTTGCTTTACTGCTTTTCAGAGAGTTCTTTTTCATGACAGATTTTATAGCGGATTTCAAAAACTGTTTAACTTTTAAGTTACAGTGGCTTATAAATGGCAGTAGATAATTCTCATTAGTCTTAAAGGGCATTACTGGTGTACAGGAGAAGAAAAAAAATTGTCCAGATAATCATTATATAACTGTAATAGCCTACTAATGCCTTTCCTAAGATATGAAATACAGGCAACTAGAGCAAAAAATGCCCTTGCCAGATTGGCAGTTGTACCTGAGCTAATATCGCAGTCAGTATTACTGACTGAAAGCAGGTCATTACATTCACTATATGCAAAAACAATCAATTACAATTAAGCTCTAAAAAAATGCTTACAGTGTGTGTTACTGTAGATATCAGCGAATATTTCACCTCTCAACCTTTCCCAAGTTTATAATAAATTCAATTATATCCATATATTTTCAAATTATCAGTGTTAAAATTGAATTCTGGAATATCTTTTATACATCGAGTATCTGGGCATAGTCTTTGCACTTGCTTTCAGTACACTGCAGCTGTGCAAACTGCATATGATATAATAGACTGAAAAAAAGTGCGTTTCCTTCAAAGACAACAGATTTATGGCAGTTCAGAATGATTTTGGAGTGTTTTGCTTGTTTGCATACTTTTGAAGTGCTAGAATTCCCCTCTGTGTTCCAAAGAATGCAGTTGGCATCCTAAGTACCAGCATCATCTGCTGTATTTTGGATGGGAACAGGGTTTGTTTCTTCTTCTGAGAGTAAGCAATGTTAAATGTAAAGAGGAGCTTGGTAGGCATCCTTTAGTAATAGGGCCGTATCAGTGTACGTGTGGGACAACCGCTCACTTTGTGTGATAGATTTTCTGGATCCCACTAGTACGGGTCGGGCTGATGCTTTATTCTCATTTAGTCTTACCTTCCAAGTGATCTGTCTGTCTCCAGGAGTTTTCAACAATGGGATGAACTGACTCTCTTCTGACTACATTTTCAGGAGAATTTCACACGCTTATCTTACTAATATAAATGAAGTGGTCCCTCCCTCTCTCTTTCTATGACTCTGATTAAAAAATCAAGTGTGAAAACATGACTGAATTATGACTACTTAGTGAGCAAAGTAAAAGCAGAGGACTGTTACAGTAAGTGACAGTTGTAACCACATCTCTGATGATTAGGACTGAACCATCCTGTTTATATACACTGGTAGCAGTCCCATTCAGTAAAATCAGACTATGAGCTTTAGAGAAACCTAAACAGGTAGCTCCTTTTGTGAATATAACCATACTTGTATAACCTTATCATCCTTTTAATGGTTGAGGTGTCTAGATTTCATGAGATATGTCTTTTCTTTTTTTCTAAATTTAGAAGAGATACCATTTGCGTTGCTGAAACTTGCAGACATACTTGATGATGAGATTTAACCTTTAATTTAATTTAATCCCTTTTCTGCATAGACTCTATATTAATAGTTCTGGCCCTGGAAGAAAAACATCTATCTTTTTTCCTTTTGGTATGGAGAAGATGACTTAAGGAGTTCCTTTCTTCACAGGATTCTGCTTTTACACGAAGCAGCCCCACCTTCAATACACTGAACAGCTTACTGCTTAGCACGCAGAACTCCTGCTCAGCCAGGACTGCTGTATGCAACAAGTTTATTGGCAGCTCATTGGGGCAGCTGCAACTCAGAATATGTGCAGTCTCGTCATACGTTTCTATAAATCAGGTTCAGATGTAATTTATGCTGTATGTAGTGAATGAAGAGTAATTGAAGCATAATGCGATATCGTTTAATCCTAAAGTTTCTACAAGATTGATAATTTAGTGTAGTGAGACCAGAAACTGTCCAATTGAACTATAATTATAATGCTCCAACAGTTAGGGTCCAGTTCTTCAAGAAGCATGGGAATCATTTTATCAAGAATGGAACCGTTTTATAATTGTTTACTATAGACTTTGCAAGGGAGAAAATAAATGATCATGTGTAGAATCCAGAAACTTCGCTCTAGTCAAGGAAATTGTCTCTTAACTCCTTAGAGAGAGCTTCTCGTGAACTAGCTGTTCTTATCATGCTATAATGTACTCCTATAGATTTCAGTAATACATACTTACTATTCATCCTAGTGATCTACCTGACATCTACCACTAACTAGATTTCATTTTTCTTGCTTATAAGCAAGAAAATAAATCATGTACTCAAGAATATTTGTAGGCCTCTTGGCTTCATTAGAATGCATGCACTTTTTTTTTTTTTTTGTACGTAGTTTAAGTTAAGTTCCTTAGTTTCCTAGTAGTAACTATATATTCCTGATAGCATATGAGACCATTTTCTAGAATTAAAGGAAGTGAATGTCATTATCTCAAGTTATGTGGTTCATCTTGATAGCATTATATTATATGCAATATTGCACTTTGCTATTATATCGCTCTTTAACTAACAAACTACAGCAGCTTGTTCTGCCCCTGGAGAAAGATGCTGGAGTCAGAAGTGTCATTATGGATATATTAGGGCCAAACCAAATAGGTTTAACAGATGTTCTTGGTAGGAATGTGCATGAGTAATAGTACATAGTGCCCATGTGTATTTACTCCAAACAATTGGATGTCTCTGAAATCTGAAATGTGCTTAAATGGCAATTTAAAAAAGTGGAAATCTATCTCTGTTTTTCTAAGGAAATAGAATATTAGGGAAATAAATCAATGTCTCTGCAATAAAGTCAAACGGGAGCTATCATCACTGGATTTATGCTGAAGTATACAAATGGAGGTTCTAGTCTATATATGTGCAACCATCTGAGGCCTCAGTTCCCTTTGAAACACTGCTTTCACTATTTTCAGTTTTTTCCAGACAAAGTTGTCTGGAAATAAGCAGCTTCTACAGGCTTTGCTGAAAATTTGCTACCAGCATAAATCTAATGTTTATTGCTCAGGAGTGAGTGCTAGGTCATCCAACAGAAAGGAAGAATCTGTGTATATAGGGAGTACAGTGAAGGATAACCCAGAAAGTCATGACCAAACAGTGTACTCTGAGCTACACTTTATTATTTGTTCTTTTGGGTAAATAAACTTTGATTTTAATATGAAATGTATTCATTCTTTCCTCCATGAAACAATTCTTTATTAGCTAAGCTGTCTTATCAGCTTCATTATGATATCCCTACATGAGTGGAAAAAGAGCCTGATGTTTCTGGTTTAGCATGAAGGCAGATGGTTGTCTATAACTGTAAAGTTCATAGCAATGGGTTTAGAATATCACTGTCTTGCACATGCAAAGAAAGTATGTCTGTGACTATTAATTATAGAATTAACATTTTTAAACTCTCTAAAATTTTTAGTATTCTGTAAAAGTATTATAAACTGTTCAATAAAAGACTATTAAAATGCCATATGTTAAAAACAGGAAATCATCTGTTTAATTTGATATGTTGCCTATGTATATTCGGTGCGTTACTTAAAGGTCAGCTCCTTCCCCAAAGCTGCAAAACCAGCAATAAAATGAGAGGCTGTTACAGGCATTTATCTTGTAACCGTCCTGCCTGGAGATTTTGCTACATTTGTTCCCTGAGATACACTTGTTGATTCCCTACTTTATTGAGTAGTACTTGATAATATCATTCTGAACGTTAGAGGCTTCTTTTACTATTGGCATTTCTAGAAATTAGTTCTGTTTCTTATATGCATCGTTGACTAACAGCATTCATGGATGGACCATATTTTGTCTTTATTTATTTGTTTTGGGAAATAAATGTAGCTGGTCCAGATTCCGTGAGGCACTGATTTCAGTCATATTTGGAAGCATATAAACTTATGTCTCTAGTAGGTCATAAATCTATTGATCTCCTTATTAATATTTATAATATGTATATATGTTTTTAAACAAGTCTGTAACCATATTTCCAATATCGAAAAGAAGGATGAGAAAGTGGGAATCGTATACAGAGGTGTGGGTGGGGAAGGGCAGTCACGCATAATTGCTTTCATCTCCATACATCTCAATTTGAGGAACCCAGAAAGGAAAACAGTATGTTGTTACCCCATATCCCCTTTTTTTTCCCGGAATGCAAGCTTTCTTTCTTCCATTCTGTCTTCCCTCAAATGTTTCCTAACTTTGGCAGAACTCTGTGAGCAGAAAAAGATATGTTGTTTAGGGATGTGCATAAATTTTAGTAATAATTTGATGTCCTAAAGCAGAGCCAGAGTCTAAACTCATGAGGTACCTATTGCATTTCTACAAAATGTGTTATGTAAAATTTCAAATTAACTCTCTAGCTTTTGGCCTAGATTTAACAAAAGCAGTAATATCAAATGACAGCATGAGTTTTCCTTTCAGGTTTACAGTATTTTTTAGAGGAGGGCTTCAAAAATTAAGAAGAAACTATAACAGTTAGGAATAAACTAGGATTTAGCTAGAAGTTAAATAACTTTGTATATTGGCTGTTGATACGCTCGTTGCCACATTACCAATTTTAAGGTTCAGTGCAGGAAACAGCTAACCGTTCCCATACAGTTTATTTGCTACAATAAAGTTCAACAGAAATGCTGTTTTTCTGAGTAATGCAAAAAGGAGTTACCTAAATAGTTTTAACATTCTTCACTGCCCTTTCACTCATGGATGTAATCTTGCATTTTGATACAGAGACTAGACAAACATTGTGAAGTGCGACCTTTTTAACACTTCTTAGTATCTTACTGCTCTGTGGCAGTAAGTAATGATATGGGGGTACAGTTAGATATGATATGGGGGGTACAGTGAGATAGCAGAAGAAAAAAGTTTTTTGTCAACTCCTTGATTTGGACTTACAGTAAGGGATTGTTATCAGAATTCAAAGTACAGTTGAACAGCAGTACTAAACTGAAATGTTGTATGTATATATTGTACCTTTTCTGTTTAAATGTAATGGGTCCAAATCCACTCTTAGCTATGCAGATACCACTTCCGCTGATGTATGTTGTAGACACAGGCAAAACTGAACAGTGACAGACTCTTTCTGATAACCTGGGGCAGACACGTTTAATTATATGATTGAGAAATCAGAGACTTCTCATCACTAGATCAATTCCCAGATGTTCGCATGGGAACATATGAAACAGAGCTTAACAGTGGGCTGTATTAGCTTCCAGATGTTTTGGCCTTTTGACTTTCTTCCTCCTTGCCCAGCTGTTGGTCTCTTGCCACCAGGTTTATAGAGTTATCCTGTGCATGAACACCTGCCCGCTTCAGCCCTACCTTGGTCATCTCTTTCTTCTTAGACATGAGGATTCAAAGAGCTGTGGAAGTCAACAGAACACTTTGCTTTAAAGAGTGCAGTAGCAAATAAGATGTGGCCAGTGCTAGAGGAAATGAATATACTATACTGATGATACTAGGCACACCCACAATGTATTTATGTACACAGATGTGCACACAACTTAGTTTAAGGAGCTATTTTGCATGGTAGAAAAGCAAACGCTAAATTGATTTGCTTATCACAGAATCAGAGAATCACAGAATCGTTTAGGTTGGAAGGGACCTCTGGAGATCATCTAGTCCAACCTCCCTGCTCAAGCAGGGTCACCTAGAGCATATTGCCCAGGATCACATCCAGACGGCTTTTGAATATCTCCAGGGAAGGAGACTCCACCACCTCTCTGGGCAACCTGTTCCAATGCTCTGTCACCCTCACAGTGAAGAAGTTTTTTCTCAGGTTCAGATGGAACTGCCTGTGGTTCAGTTTCTGCCCATTATGTGAGACTGCAAGTTTTATGAGCAGAAACTTTTGAAAACTCTTCATTATTTTTAACAGAAGCAGATAAAAATAATAGTACTATGGGACTTCCTGTATGAATATTTCCTCATTGCAGGCTTATAATCTGCTTAGTCATTTAACATCGTATTTGGAAGGATTAAATACTTGTGCATGTCCTCTTACTACTCTTCAGACTTGTAAGTCTTCCAACCGATAATGTAGATGTGAGAATTCTGGGTGAAAAGAAATTAAGTATGCAATTTGTATTGTAAGAAGTGTTGCCATGAGTATATTACCAGTGTCTTTTAAACAAAGAATCAGCGTGTTCTGGTAGTGTGAGCAGATTCTACAAGCCATAGTAAAAATTATTTCTGATATAGATAAAGATCAAAATTATGAAGTTTATGCTAATAATTAATAATCATTTATATTTGAGGAGTATAAATATTACAGATTAGACATCTTCTCTTTGATTTGGATTTCTTAGTAACTTTTTAGCTTAGTAATTAAGTTTGTAACTTTTTTTTTTAACAAACAAGTGAAAAAAACAGCCACCTTGTGTAAACGTACCTGTTTTAGTAATATGTCCATTTTCTCAGAGATACCGATAAATTTCCCCATCCATCTTGGTCTCTTTGATCATGTTTAGTACAAAGTTTAGACTCATTTAAATCAAATGCTGAACTGCAGTTGGGAAA